TCACAGGGATCGGGGTGGTCCTCACTGCAGTCCTCGCCACTCTCTCATTGCTTTTGGAGCCTCGTGCTTTGTTTGCATTCGAAAGGTAGTCACAGGGATCGGCATGGTCCTCATTCTATAGATACTTTTGGGAAGAAAACATAAGTCTCCGTAAACCTTCTTGAAACCTTCCAGGAACTGTTATAAGTTATAAGCTCCTTTAAACAGCTAAAAGCCTTCGATCAATCCTCCATTCCTCCATAGAGAACCATACCACAAGACGCAGACCACAGGCCACAGGGAGGGGGGGGTTACAGGTTATAAGCCCTCTAGAAACACGGTAAGCGCTCTATAAACCGTCATTGCAACCACAAGACCTAGCCTACAGGCCACGGGACCGCAGGGGGGTTGGGGGTATTAGTTTTAGTTCTAGGTCAACCCTAACTTCGAGCCCAGAAGATAGCCACCACACAAGGAAGGGATGTTTGTAACCGCAAACCCTCAACCACAGCCCAGGCGGCAGCGGGCAATTACCTCGGTGGTGGAAGGAGAAAGGGGGGGAGGGGGGGCCCGCACGGATCATATCTCTTTATATATATATACATATTTGAGTTGGGCCGGTTCCAAAAGATACTTTGGGCACAAGTTATCCCTGAATACCCTCAACCCCAGAACCCAAATCCCGAACCAAAAGCTCAAGGAGGCCCCCGGGTGGGTACCCGTAAAGGAGGCCTATATAGGGTGATATAAACCCACTACCTTTTTGCGAGCCTTAGATGGAGGTGCCCACCTAGTAAGCACCCACTTAGACTTGCTGTTAAACGTCGAGCCTTGGACATCAGTTTGTGGACATCCTCTCTCAGCAGTGGCTTTCTCTCCAGGGCCGCCTCAAGCGCCTTGGAGTTCATGGCTTCTGGGCTGATGCCCAGAATTTAAGATCTTTTTGAGAGCTTACACGACTTGTACAAGGTTAGGGTCCGAAGTTTTGTGCGCGTTTTGTGCGGGTTTATGCTTTAGCTTTTGTACTATACAAGTTGAGTTTATCTTGGCCTTAGGGTTTAGGGTGTCATCTTTGAGGGTAGGGCTTCCTCCATCTAACGGCAAAATTTCAAATGTTTCAAAGGCTGCGACCGGCAAGGAAAGGGTCAAAACCTACGAGGGAGTGCAGAATGATTCTTTTACGGGATGGGTCTAGGGTGGTTAGTATAAGGAGCGTATAGTAAAGGGTCATGCAGGAATGTTGGTATCCACCCTTCATACTCCTGACCTCCCAAGAGGGGGAAGAAGCAGAGTGCAGGTTTGGTCAAATCTGAATATCACAACACTATCGAAAACTAGGTAGGCATGTTGCGAAACATTAGCGTTGTGTACATAACATTTTTTTACAAGGGACTATAGTATATGACCTGGTCATGGCTTGGGTTGTTCTGAAGATCATCCCCGCTTGTTGCGCACCCCTGCCTGGTAAGGAACCGAACTCTACAACCTGTAAACATCCCTGCTTAGAAGCATCAATCCTCAAACTTTAGCTGGAGTCTGGGGTTCGGGTCCAGATTGGGGTTCCATCACTTGCTCATCGCATACCCGAAGCCAAGCCCCCCCCCCCTCTCATCGGCACCCCAGACCCTAGATCTTGTCTTGGATGCTAAACCCATCCATTCACCTTTTCCTATCCCAAAGGGTCCTATATATATATATATGGAAATATGTGCAAGCATAGAAAACAAACCAAGTAGAACATTCCTGGTAAAACGTGACTCAACTTTGTACCATGTAGGTAGGATTTTAATTCGCGGTCCCCCGTGTGGATTCCTAAAGGAATCCTATATACACTCAACGTATCATAACGAAAACTCCTACATGAGCCAAGTCTATGCTCCTAGTATCCCCCTTACTAACCCCCATCATGGTCCCATATATAAGCCCCTAAACAACTCCCCTAAACCCTAAACCCCTTTAAGGAATTTAGACTACAGCTCACATCATGTAGGTATTTTGGGCTCTTTGGGTGCCCCCTCCGCCTCCTCAGCCTTCGGAGCGCGCATGTCGTTCCCGGGCCACAATTCCTCGGCAAGACTTGCAACATGGGGTTTAGGGCTTAGGGTTTTGGATTTAGGGTTATAGGGTTTGGGGTTTATAAGGTTCAGGGCTTCTAGGGTGTAGCCCTACTAAGCCCTAAAACCTCTAAGCCCCGAGAATAGGAACTTTAAGGTTTCAGGAGCCTGGTTTGAACCTGTTTGGGCGTTGGTTTGGGATTTTTAGGGTTTAGGATTTAGGGTTTTAAGCTTTAAGGGTTTAGGGCTTAAGTTCCTGCAATATGGCTTTAAAGGGGTTTAAGGATTTAGAGTTCTAATAGTGGGTACATAGGGTTGAGGGTTTAAGTTGCTACCATATGGCTATATAGGGTTCAGGGCCAAAGTTCCCACAATATGGCTATTTAGGGGTTAGGGTTAAGGTTAAGATACCGCGGGTATATAGGGTATGGGGTTTGTGGTGTAGGGTTGGTTTCAGATTTTAATTTACCATAAGATAGGTGTATAGGGTTTAGGGCTTAGGATCTATGACTATCATAATATGGGTATGTAAGGTTTGGGGTTTAAGCAGCCACAATATGGATATAGGGTTTAGGATTTAGGGTTTATACGTTATATAATAAAAGTAGGGTTTCCTTATTAAAGCTCCTTCAAAGCAACCCAGTCTTAGGCTGTGCCACGCAGTGGAGAGTTCAGGGTTTTATGGGGCTTTAAGGTTTTAGAGAAGGCTAAGGGCTGTGAGGGGTTTAGGGAATTGCGCGTTAAGGACTTGAGCGGTCTAAGGGGGCTTTAAGGAATTTCGGGTTCAGGCTTAGGGTTTAAGAGTTTTTGGGGTTTTAGGAAACCCTGGTTAGAACTGTCTATGGTTGTGATTCAGCGTTTGTTGGAAGCCTAGGCAGACATACTACGAAACACCAGTGTTGTCCAGAATAGAAAGTAACACAGACTGTGACCCTACCTAGTCGCAAACAGTCTGACGCTACCTGAGGCACTCCAAAATGCTTGATTACGGAACGTGCCTTACATCATTTTAGGGACCGGAGATCATAGATATATTCCGTACTTGAGGTATATTGGGCTTTCTCTGCTTTTTTGGCAGAAAGGGCTCAGATCGCTTAACGAAGCAATGGCTGGGTGTGCACGAGTCCAAGGGCCGTCCTCTCCCCGAAGCAATATGACGGTTCCTGGAAAAAAAGCAGGGCCCTTAGGGACCCGAGGGGTCTACGGGGATTTTGAGGAGGAGAGATTATCTAGGGACGATTTTGAGAAACTCCCACATGAGCTTTTGTCCAAAGACCCCTTAAAGGGGTTTTATAGGGGATTATATAGGGGATCACTGTAGGGGTTATTAACGGGTATACTAGAGGTTTAGACTATAGTTCAAGTAGCGGAGTTTCTATGGAATTGAAACAGGGCCTTGCAAAGACAACTGCCCCTTCTTAAACGGGGCTGTATGCTGGCAGGTTAGTTTTGGGGTGACGTAGCTTGGGCTAGCCATTCATTGTCACTGAACCCTAAACCTACCACAGCCCTGTAAACCCTGAAGGATGACCCTGAAGCCGCCTAATTAGCCTGCAGCCCCACGGTTTAGGGTTTAGGGTTTATAGTCAAAAATTCCGTGCTTCACTTGGAGTTCCGCTTACGCCATGTAGAAACCATGCGACATTTCGGTGGAACTGCGCTAGAGGCACCAAATTCCTAGATCCTGAACCTTGCTGAGGCGCAGTACCAAAGCAGTACGGACAGTAGCGGAGTAACATAAACCCACTCCTTCTGAAGCATAACCATCAAGCCCAAATTACACGTTCCATGTTCCTGCTTTGATTCTTCAATTGCCGTTATCTTTACTGTTAACTTCAAAAGCAAAACACTAAAAACCCTGAACACCCTAAAATCCCCTAGACCCTAAACCCTAAAACCCCCGAAACCCTGAAAAACTCTCAGGGAAGTCGAGGTTCAGTACCAAAACAGCACAGACAGTAATGGAAGGACAGGTCTGCGGGCTCAGCCGCCAAAGGCTGCGGTGGGCTGAGCCACAGCAGCTGCGACAAAAACAAAGCAGGGCTGCAGGGTTAGGGTTTAGGGTGTAGGGTTTGAGGGTTTTAGGGCTTTAGGGTTTAGGGGTGAAAGATCTTGGGAGGTTAGGGTTCAGGGCTTGGGGGGTTATATAGGGTTTAGGGTTTTAGGGTTTAGGGCTTAGGGGTTCAGGGGTTTAGGTGTTTTGGGTTCAGGGGGTTTAGGGCCAGGGCTTAGGAGTTAAGGTTTAGGGTTGAGGGGTTTAGGAGTTTAGGGTTTGAGGGTGTTAGAGGTTTAGGGTGTTAGGGTGAGGGGTCAGGGTGTAGGGGTTTAGGGGGTTAGGGTTCAGTTCAGGATGTAGAGGCCTCCAAACTGGCCCTGCTACCACCTTATCATCCGCAAGTGATTGTAGAATGATTCGCCCTAGACCTTATCTGCATGCAGGACCTTCTGCCGGGGATTGGCCAAGAAGAATTTAGGATTTAGGGTTTAAGATAGCTAGAACAGTCCGCCCGTATTGGCTCGGAGAATGCCGCGAACTCATGATCAAATGATAAAAGTATGCCAAACCCTACTACGTCCTAACAAAAGAACAGATGCTGTCTTAGGGCCACGCAGGGCTTAGGTTTGAAGGTCTAAGGTAGGGCCAAAATTACACTTCCACACATAAAGCCTTCTGGCAGCACTACAGCGACTCACATGTCGCGGATAGAGGCACTGTGCTCAGATTTCCTGACGAATTAAGTCTTACAGCCCTCTAACAGCCCTTGTGCTCCTATTGGTATTGCTGGTGCCGTCATGCCTGGCTGCTCAAACATTACCTTCCTGCTAATTTGCGTAGGGAATGGAGGAATGCAAAACAATATTAACACTGTTTTTTCGGTGCTACTCCAGGACTTTTATGGATCCGTTTCTCCATTCCCTACACTAGGCCTGAAGCCCTAAACCGCGAACCCCAAACACTTAAAACCTATAGTAGCTCCTTTTCCCACCAGTAACCAGCAAGTTTTTCCGACTTGGCGTGCGCAACTACATGGTCGGCACCTGAGTCACATAATCTGTTCTTCTAGGCTTGAACTGTCCCAGAAACCTCAATTTTATCAGATCTAGGGCGTTCTAGTACATGTAAACTCCATAGAAGTCTTGATCCTCGCATGGCCGCATTACCCTTCAGCTTCCAGTGCCCGTCTTGTGGATTATGTAGATATCTGGAATAGAAAGCATCTCAAATCGCTTTTCTTTTTTCGCGTTGCTGGAAACTTTGGCTCATTTGCAAGCTGCAACGCCACGGCATCGCATTATGTACAGCTCCCGTGCACGTTGCATCTGAGAGTCGGGATCTTGAGTCTTGAGGAGAAATCGGTTAACTCATTCTTTGGCAGGCGGTTTAGGGTGTATAGGGTTTACCACATAAAACTTGGCAGTGCTTAGGGTTTTTGGGTTGTTTGGGTTTAGGCCCCTAACAAAAGTTCTTGAGACCCCGAAAAAGGTGGCATGACTTGCTGCTCTGTAGCTTAAAAGTTGAGAAACGAAAAGCCTTGCCATACATACGGTAGTTTCCCTAAATTACTGTTCCCAAAATGGGGGAAATTTATATAGGGCCCCGTATTATAATGGGAACCCAAATATAGGACCCCGTATTATGGGGAATTTAGACCAATACCCATACAGGGCTTCCGTTGCTTCAAGCAGCGCACCGCGCTATGTGAGCTGTAGTCCAACATCCTTTTAATGAACCTTGTTCTTTTCTGGTCCAAAATCCTTTGCAAGACCTACCCGCTGCCTCGACTATAGCTCCAAGAGACTTGAAATTGAGCCTCGCATTGTGTAGTGGGGTTACTTGGAGAATTCACATTCGCTAGATCCTATAAACCCTACAATCTAAACCCACCATTTTGCAGAGTTGCTCAATTTCTCCAGGCACCTGCCCGCTCTCACGCACAGAAACCTACGTAACATGGCCGTAACGTTACAAGAATGCCCCATAAGACCCGTAGACTTTGGCTGGCCAATATGACATGTATGCAAGCAAAATCTCCAGAAATCGTATCAAACCCACAGGAAATTGGTAAGTTTTACCGAAACCTTCATTGCCTCGCAAAGCACACAGACGTCTTATAAAGCCTGCATAGGATTTCAGTCGTCTTAAATCCTGTACAAATATTCCCAAGGCCCAACTCAAGCATGCTAACTTCGCCTCCCTTGTTGCCTAATACTAACTTTATGCCTAATACAAGAGCTCCCTGATGGTGACTAACATTTGGTTACTTCCCAATATTTGGATTCCATTTTGGTACCCCTCAATGTTAGGTGCGTAATCTACTCTGTATCCAAACGGGGTACACAAATTTGAGAACAATCCAAATTTGGTGGGCAGGGCAGCATTTAAGATTCGCGGGGTCAAAAAATGGTGTTTAACAATGGAGAAATCATTTTAAACACTTTGTAAAAAAAAAACTGAGTGGAAATACTCTTTTAAATCTAATAATAAAATTAGCACTGGAGGGAGAGGACAACTAGTCGTGGAGGTGATCATCCAGACGGGCCTTAGGCCTTAGGCCTTCAGCCCTCTGCCCCGCACTCTCCGGCGGATCAGCGTCGGTGCATACCTGAGGCAACGCAATCGGGCTGGAGGCATCCTGGACTTCAAGGTCTTTCACCCCCACCTTCGACACCCCTAGGGTTAAAAAGTCCCGATAAGAATCAGCATATGTTGTGGAATAAGTATTACGAGGTGGCGTGTCGGACTTTTAGGGGGCGATCAAAATCTTAGGGTTTTAAGCTTGCCGGATTCCGGGGTTTTTGGCTTAAGTTTCTCGAGGTTGGGCTTTAGGTCGCTTCCGGCTCCCAGGCCAGACCATGTACACGTTGCCTTAACTGGTGGCTCCTGCTTGGTGCCAAACCTAGACCCCCCCATCCCCGACAACCTCAACTGCAAACCCTCCGCCCCACTCCATACCTCCACACTCATCCCCAAATGCCCGTAAACCCTAAACCCTATTAGCCGGACCTCAACT